GAGCGTGAGCGTGAAGATCTCGCACACGTCCTAACACTAAGTCAGCACGTGCCCTTGACTGAAAAAGTGGAAACAAAAAAGAAGTCTTTGTGCCGGTAGGCTCTTATACTCCATATTTGAATATAATTTCATGTAAAAGCTGGCTGGAAGACGCAGAGGCTAAATGTAATTCCACCAATCGTACCACTCTAGACAAAACACGTGCTTTTCTCTTCGGATAGGGTTATTGTACGCTTGATTTGATTTCAGAGAGGTACTTTTGATTAGGACTGCTAAGCCCTGAAGTGAAGCTTGGTAAAAAATTTTTAGTCACGTTTTTCTTTAGACGCGGTTGCTACGCGGAACAGCGCTTTCTGTGTGCGGCGATGAACCCCTAGTATCTGCATGTGTCTGTATTCTCGCGCTGCCTTTTCAATGGTCGAGATTCATTTTGCTTTAGTTGTCTGTTTTGATTCAGGTTTTGTGAAAATGCCCGATACGTTATCAAAATTAGGGAACTGGCGGCTTCCGAAATTCAGCGATAACAAGCAACCCGAGGTTCATACGATTGTGTTGTGGAAATGTTGCGTGCGGAAGTTACGGTCGCATACGGCGTCATTATTTGTGCAGATATGGGGGTTTCTGTATTTGGTTTGGTTCCCTCCAATACCTCGCGATCTGGAAGGCTTAGTCCACTCTTTAACACGTTGACGACAGCGCAGGTTTTGGCTTTTTCCGCCATGGGGACATGGGCGATTTGGCGGGCGCGATTTGCCTGACGCGCAAGCGCGTCAGCTTGTCCCACGAGGTGCGTTTTTCGGAACTCAAAACTGAAAAGTGGCAAAACAAGGGTACAACGCTAATTGAGGGGAGGGGCTTCCGGTGACGCGCGCTGCTTGTCTCTACCCTCTCAGCGAAATACTAGTGATGACATCATAAAATTAATATCAAAATAGTAGTCGAAGGTTGAACGAAACAGAAAATTCAGTGAGGTTCTAGCGTCCACGCTGGATTTGCTATCCTCGCATTATCACCCGATAAGGGGCCGTATGCTATGCTTCCCCGAAGCTAGTGATCCAAAGTTTCCTTTAAATTTATTTGTTTTGAACGATATAGTTTCTTCATTTTCATGCATGTTTACTTTACCTACATACATACATGTAGGCCCTTTATCAGGGCAACCCCAGTTGGGAAGACGGAGAAAATTTATAGAAATTTTCGTTTCCACATTTTCGTCCCCTAATCCCTTTGGGGAGGACAGCATACGGCCCAAGGTCTGAGATAGATTAGTTTGGACGAAAGTTACCCTCCAGAAGATACGATATCACAAGATAAGGA